TCACTTTGCGTCTTTCATAAGGTATTAGCTTCTCATTTTTACTTAACATGCAGCCCAGAACTATACCTATCAACAGAATATTCAACCCAACCAGCAAATTTACAACCAGTCTCATTATATGATGGGAGTTACTTGTTACTGAGCAGAAAATACTCATTTTACACCTTAAACACTGTAATGCTACTTAATAACAGTGGTAGCTTGCCAACTACTGGAAGTCAGAGATTTCTTTTATATATATATATATGTGCATAAATATACCTCACTCCCCACATATATATACTGCACTATCTTGCCTTACCATCTTGCCTCGAGTTATAACGATAATACTCTGGCAGAGATATATGGGACCACTTTTAAAATACTAATTAACTTCAGTTTTGTAAGTTGAGCTGTAATCCTCGCTGAGAGAATACGATTATTATTCTGGTGAAGTCATAGCAACGTAGCCAAAGTCGTATTTATTACATCCACTTTGGACTAAGGAATATGGAGACAAGAGACTGGCTTTAGCCTTCACTTATTTGTGGAGCATTAAAGATGGCTGAGGATTCACTACAGTTTAGGCTGCCTTAAGTAAATGGAACCATGCTCTGTCCTTCCACTTACTTTTAGTTGTCCATTCTAACTACTGTCCTTGCACTGGCACCGATACCCATCTGAACCTCTGTCAGGTGAACACTGTGAGCCAAGTCATCAGAAACACAGTACACAGTATGCTAGAGATTGGAAGGGACCTTAAAAGATCATCTAGTCCAATCCCCCTGCCGGAGCAGGAACACCTAGATAAGGTTACACAGGAATTGTCCAGGCGGGTTTTGAATGTCTCCAGGGAAGGAGACTCCACAACCTCCCTGGGCAGCCTGTTCCAGTGTTCCGTCACCCTCACTGAGAAGAAGTTTCCTCTCAAGTTTAAGTGGAACCTCTTGTGTTCCAGTTTGTACCCATTACCCCTTGTCCTGTCATTGTTTGCCACTGAGTAGAGCCTGGCTCCATCCTTGTGACACTCCCCCTTTCTATATTTATAGACACTAATAAGGTCACCCCTCAGTCTCCTCTTCTCTAAACTATAGAGACCCAGCTCCCTCAGTCTTTCCTCATAAGGGAGATGCTCCACTCCCTTAACCATCTTAGTTGTCCTGCGCTGGACTCTCTCCAGCAGGTCCCTGTCCTTCTTGAACTGAGGGGCCCAGAACTGGACACAATATTCCAGATGGGGTCTCACCAGGGCAGAGTAGAGGGGAAGGAGGACCTCTCTCGACCTACTAACCACCCCCCTTCTAATACACCCCAGGATGCCATTGGCCTTCTTGGCCACAAGGGCACAGTGTTGGCTCATGGTCATCCTGTCGTCCACTAGGACCCCCAGGTCCCTCTCCCCTACACTGCTCTCTAACAGGTTGTTTCCCAACCTATACTGGAACCTGGGGTTGTTCCTGCCCAGATGCAGGACTCTACACTTTCCCTTGTTATATTTCATCAAGTTATTCCCTGCCCAACTCTCCAGCCTGTCCAGGTCTCACTGGATGGCAGCACAGCCTTCTGGCGTGTCAGCCACTCCTCCCAGCTTAGTGTCATCAGCAAACTTGCTGATAGTACACTCAATTCCCTCATCTAAATCGTTGGTGAATATATTAAATAATACCGGTCCCAGTACTGACCCTTGAGGCACTCCACTAGTTACAGGCCTCCAACTAGACTCAGCCCCATAGACTACAACTCTCTGGCTTCTCTCCTTCAGCCAGTTCACAGTCCACCTCACTACCTGATCATCCAGACCACACTTCCTCAATTTAGCTGTGAGGATGCTGTGGGAGACTGTGTCAAATGCTTTGCTGAAGTCAAGGTAGACCACATCCGTGTTATTTCCTCATAAAAGGCTAAGAGATTGGTCAAGCATGATTTCCCCTTGGTGAAGCCATGTTGACTGCCCCTCATAACCCTCTTATCCTTGATATGCCTTAAGATGGCACCAAGGATAAGGTGTTCCATCACTTTCCCAGGGATGGAGGTGAGGCTGACCGGTCTATAGTTACCCGGGTCTTCCTTCTTGCCCTTTTTGAAGACCAGAGTGACATTTGCTTTCCTCCAGTCCTCAGGCACTTCTCCCGTTTCCCAAGACTTGGTAAAGATGATGGAGAGTGGTCTAGCAATGAGTTCTGCCACTTCCCTCAGCACCCGCGGGTGCATCCCATCTGGACCCATGGATTTATGGATGTCCAGATTGCTCAACTGGTCTCTAACCCATTCCTCATTGACTAAGGCAAACCGTTCCATTGACCTGACTTCATCTATGGTCTCAGGGGTACAGGGCTCTTCAGGACTGCCTGCAGCAGAGTAGACAGAGACAAAGAAGGCATTCAGTAACTCTGCCATCTCTGTATCTTCTGTCACCAGGGCACCCATCCCGTTCATCAGTGGGCCTACATTGCCTCTGGTGTTAGTTTTGTCTGCCATGTATTTGAAAAAGCTCGTTTTGCTGTCCTTGACCCTTCTCGCCAGGTTTAATTCTAAGGAGGCCTTAGTCATCCTAGCTGCCTTCCTACATCCTCTAGCAGCAGCCTTATATTCCTCCCAAGTGGCCAGCCCCTCCTTCCATGACCTGTAAACTCTCCTCTTCCACTTGAGCATACCCAGCAATTCCCTATTTAGCCACGCAGGTCTCCTGGCCCTCTTCCTTGACTTCCTACGTGTCGGGATGCTCTGATCTTGAGCTCGGAAAAAGTAATCCTTGAATACTAACCAACTATCTTGGGCCCCTTTACCTTCAAACAGCCTTGCCCATGGGATTTCCCCTAGCAATTGCTTGAAAAGGCCAAAGTTTGCCCTGCTAAAGTCCAGGGTTGCAATTCTACTTGCTATTCTACTGGTCCTACCACACAAGATCCTGAACTCCACCATCTCGTGGTCGCTGCAACCAAGGCAGCCCTCAACCCTTACTGCTTCAACCAGATCCTCCTTGTTAGTGAGGATGAGATCCAGCAGCGCTCCTCTCCTGGTCGGCTCATCCACCATTTGCAGGAGGAAGTTATCATCCATACACTGGAGGAACCTCCTGGACTGCGGCTGGGTTGCCGAGTGGTCCTTCCAGCAAACATCAGGGAAGTTAAAATCCCCACGACGACCACGGCCTGTGACTGTGAGGCCGCTCTCAGCTGCCTGTAGAAGGCCTCGTCAACTTCCTCACCCTGATCCGGTGGTCTGTAACAGACACCCACAACAGTATCGCCCCTGCCAGCCTGCCCCTGAATTCTCACCCACAGACTCTCAACTCTCCCTATAAAGAATGAATAGGTTTGCCTAGGTTAGCTCCCTGTACTGGCTCACTGAGAGTGCTACTGCAAAGTAGAGAAGGGATAGGAAGAAAGAGTTGGACCCCAGTACCACAGCTTACACAATCATGGAACCAGAGCCTATCTGGAGCTGGCTGCTTCTCTTTCAAGCATTGATGACTTTCAAGAATAAATGTCCTGGAATTTATGGCAGAGAGAACTCTCAACTCCTTTCTTCTGCTGATCTGGCAAAATTCTTTCTTGCATGTTTTTCAGAGACTGCTTCATGGTCTCTGTATCTACATACACTTCTCACCTAAAAACCACAGAGGTTACTCTGGGTGGTATTTTTGAGCCCTTCTTTTAACGTAGATAGTATGTCGCATGCATAGAGAAAACAAATATGAGAAGAAATAGAGTCAGGCAGGAACCTGGAATGGATTTGCTAACATATTTTTCTCAAAATGAACATGCTAAGTACCCTTGAAGGGTTTTATATCATCACAAAGTAGGTTTCATTGGAGCAGACTTACTAGGATACAGAAAATAGGAAAGATTTGTAAATCAAACCTCCGCTGTCCCACTGAGTCCCTGCAGGTACACCTTTTTTTCCAACCTTGCTCTCAGTCCAGAAGCTTCCTCTGAGTGCTTGAATCGCAACAAACTCTTTGCTGTTCCCTCCAGGTCCTTACAAAAAGTCTTTCTTTTCAGCATCCTCAAGACCAGGCCGTGTTTTCCCTGATCTTCTCAGCAGCCTTTCAGTCACCAGCCTACAACAGGCTCCTCGAGCCCAGCACAGCTCACTGCCTGCAAGATGGTGCAATATTCCCAGGGCAAGGCAAACAGGCAGGTTTCTCCTGCCTGCCTACACCTCTTTGAAGTACAGACTCCAGTAGACTACAAGCAAAAAAATTAAAAAGATGCCATCCATTATTGTTTTCTAAATGAATTCAAAATAATCATGTGGTAAACTTGTTTCATTTTGCCATACTTAAGCATCAAAATCAGATGCAGTCGTTCTGGTTAGCACAAATCTCACTATTAAATTACCAGTCACAAGGACACGGGTTTTAGCATCTGTAGCAGAGGAAGCATTTTGCTGGCTGAAAGAACTACACATCTGCTGATTACTCTTCTGTGCTTTCAACTGCAAGATCCCCTCTGGTATGTACCCAAGCAAGACTCAAGTTCAGTGACAGTGCTGCAGAAAGTTACTCAGCCTCATGGTTTTTAACTGGTGTTTACGACCAACAGAACTGAAAAACTATTTTCCTGTCAGAAAACCTAAAATTTAAGAAATCCTGACTCTGTTTTCTGACCTGGAACAGAGTCATAGATCCAGTTACTTTGGAGACGATCAGAAAGGTGATCCCTGGTGAGTTAAGTATTTCAGTGTTTAGCTTAGCTGCTATGAGTTTAGGGGAGAATTTCTACTTTATTCCATACCTTGGAGGGAAAAAAAAAATCCCATAAAATTATTTAGGCTTATAAACACAGTATACTTTCATTAGGTAAGTATTTTGAACAGCTTTCTCAAAAATTAATAATGCAAAAACTTTTCAAATCATTACTTAATGAAATCCTTCACATCTTTTAGTCTCCTGACTGTTGCAATTTAGTGTGTACAATACTCTTAAAATATATGGATCTGTTCTTTTGCTTTTAATATATTATGCTGCTTATTATATTCAAAACTTTTAAAAATTAGAAAATATAAAAATTACCAACCTGTAAGAAATAAATGTTCCATCAGAATCTGAAGTGTGGTGTGTGCTTCCGTTTTCATTTGATCCTCCTAATACAAATATAAAACACTTTTGTTACGAGACAAACCCTGATAATAAATAACACAATATTGATGAGAATCACAATTGATTTTACCATATATTGCAATTTTAGTTTACAACAAAGCTTACATAGGTAAGTCTCAACTTTACATCTTCAAATTCTTACAGCTGGCAAGAGAGACAATAAGCCTTCATGTTCAATTTGGAGTTTAAATGTTCTGAAAATCTGAGATTTAATTTCACTTGAAGTTTTGGTTTGAGGACCTAACTAAACACAGTTTTACTAGTATAAGGTTAGAGATGCATAGCACACAAACAGATGAGTTTGATTTTTAAGCCAAAGAATGTAAAAGTTAATTTATTTTGTGACTGTATGGTATCAGGCACTTTTTGTCCTAGTACAAGTTTAAAGCTTCTCTGAAGCTACTTAACACGTCTGCAAAACATCTTGTTTTACATCCTGTGGGCTGTTTATACATAGATCAGCGACGTTCATAGAAACTGAGGATTACAAGGAAACCTTCCTCTCTATAGTAACTACTATTGAAGGACTGTCAAAAGTCAGGAACAATAATCTATTTTTTAAATGAAATTTATCCACATCCTCTTTTATTTATTCTTGCCCAACCTGTCATTTAGCTTGGTAATTCTTCTATGCCCTTGTGTATTTCCATAATTCATTTACAGACAGCATTGCGCATCCTTGTGCCCTCTGTTCTGCTTACTGAAATCAAGTTCTTTCACAGTCTTTTCCTGAAATGAGGCTCATTATTCCCTGTTTTGTTTAAATCAGTCCTCCTTACACATGAAAAAGAAGGGACAGGAGCTGTAGACAGCATACTTAAAGTTTAACCAGTTTATTCTTTGGACAGTGGTTTTCTTCACTATCAAAAAAATCTTGCTTGATACAGTCTATAGTCATGTCACATCAGCTTGCAGTTTCACAGCCATCATTCACCAACACTCCTACGTTTTTACTCTCCGTTTTTATTTACGAAAGAAGTCTGCAGTTTACAGTAGCAAACCTTGCTAGTACAATACTGCATTTCATACTATTTCATGTTGTTGCTCTTTTCCTCAGAAATGACCTATCCTATTTGAACTGAGTCTCCTTGCACTGGATACTGCATATTCTCTATGTAGTAATATGTGGTATCTGATATTCTAATATTTTTTCTTCTTAGAAACTATTACTGAAGTTTCTCACTTTGTGGCAAGACAACAAATGAAAGTATTGCGTAAGATCAGATCCACCACAAACTCCACTTAAAAAAATTCTTTCATTAAAATCTGCATTTCTCAATTCAACTTATAATTATTATACTTCACTAATCCCCATCCTTTCTATTTCATAACATCTCCTGTGGCACTACATCAGATGGTTTACTTAGGTCCAGACAGACTTAACATATTTCCTTAATGTATATTTACAAAGGCTAGCAGCTTAGCTAGGCACAGTCTCCTGTTTAACAAAAGCCCTGCACCAAAGTTACACTATTTGCTTTTTTCTTCCTCTTCTAAAGCCCTGCACAGACAACAGCCAACTGATATAACTGCTTTGCAACACTTTTTTTCTCTTAATCTAATTAAAGGTACTACATTTTTCCTCCTTCACATACATGCTATCAGACATGAACTAAGACTGAAAAATTGTTCCATGCAGCAGTATTTTTCAGTGTTCTTGAAAGACATTTACTCTGCAAGTCACATTCTTTACTCTTTATTGTATGTGCTAATTTATCATATATACCCAACACCCTTTCATTTTTTATTCTTTTTTATTTTCGGACCCTTGCCTAATATTTTATTTTTACTGAAAACTAACACTTTTCTGGTTGAGACCACACCTGAATTATATTTAATATCATTTGCCCATTCGCACTGCACTATAGTTTTAGTTTTCTTCCCCTCAAAGCTTCTTTACAAAGTCAAGTAATATTTTCTTGTTAATGATCTAATTCAACTTCACTTCTGTTAACTGTCACTATAACCCCACACTTTCTGACATCCAGGAGGTAGCCTTCTTTGCAGATCAAGCTGGTTTTGTTTCTTTCAAGATCTTTGCTTACTTCAGGCATTCTTTAAAAATACTTAATCACTCCCTTTGACAGAACTGTCCTTCCAAGTGTTTTTTTCTCATCTAATTTGGAATGCATTTTTTTATTAACTTTTGCACAATTGTCTAAAATATATTCCAAACCTCTATTACATTTGAGCCTAAAATCACTCCATCCAGTTGATTTCACTTATTAGCTCTCAATTTATTTTGAAAATGGAAATCCTACTTAACTGTTCTGCCTTTTGTTTACTAACTTTAACTAAATTAATAACACCAGATATTTCATCCAGGAAACCCTCCCATTATTAATAACCATCTGTCCCTTGTATCTTGAAAAACAGTCTCCCATACTGGGACAATTTTAAGTAATATGCTTTTTCATATATTGCCCATCTCCACATGTGATCCTGAGCACTCCGTGACATGACTGAGCTACGTTCCGTCTCTTTTAAAGCCATATGGCTAGGTGCAGTGATACCGGGCAATAGAAAATTGAAAAAAATACAGCACATGAAAATAGGTCCTGAATGCACTATTGCACCTTATTTACACCTAAACAACTCTTAAGCATCCACCTACCACACTAGCCAGACTCAGAAAGAAAACTCATTCACAATACTAAGTTCATATACCAAAAAACATCTTTTGGGACTCTTTTCAATAATGGCAACATGATTTTTTTTTTTTTCCCGAAGAATGAGGTTTAAGAATATCTCAAAAAATTCAAAGCCGTTATTGTCTTTCAACTAAACCATTTGTCCTGCTTTAAGTCAACAGGACTCTACAATGGAAACCAGAATCTTGGTGATAAAAGGTTGTTCTTTCATCAGGATCCCACAAGGAAAATTCGGAGGGATCCTGGGGCTGCTACATCCACTGAGCTGTCCTTCACAAGCTACTTCATGTGTAGCTTGCTTTATTCTGAAGCATTCTCTCAGAAGACAGTAATTCCCTTTATTGAAATGACCACCACAATACTTTAACATTCTTAATTGTAAACCCATTGTAAATAAATCTCATATTTATATGTTATTGCTGATCTCTTTTGTTGTTGGTGGCTTCTTTTTGAGAGGCGCTTTTGCTGCTCCATTGTATCATTAGCAGCAGCTACCGAAACTGGATAGGACTAGGTACATCCAGCTCTCTAAACCAGGACTTAACAGACTGGGCATTTCTGTCATTGTTTTCTTGCTCCACCCCGTTTAAGACAGGTAAGTCTATTGTGACATCTTGGAAGATGATTTAGATATCTTTCACTGAAAATGATAAAAATGACAAAGCAAAGTGCAAAGTATTCACTGATTTAGGAGTCCCTGAATTTTACCCACCTTTATTCAAATGTTTTTCTAGTAAATCCTGGTAAGTTTTCATTGTCAGCAATACTGAGAACAAACAGGACAGGTGCTTCACCAACTAATGAGAATAAGCTGTGGGAATCCATGGCCCCTCCTCAGGCAAGTGACCCAACTTTCTGGTAAAATAAGGATGTATACTGAACAGTTATGAATATATGATTCATTATGCTGGTAACAGAGTTTGTTGTCTCCTTTAAAAATCCTAATTGATTCTGTATTAGCCTGATTTTTAGATCCTTTCCAAGACTCAAAATGAGAAGAAGGGCTCTGTTGAAGAAACAGAGGATGCTCTGCAAACCCTGCCCCACATTCCTGAAAAGGTTTCCAAACTTCAAATGCAAAAGCTAGGAGGGGAAGAGTAAATAAAGCTTATCACACTTTCAGAGGAAAGAGAAAGGAAACAACCAGTACCATAAAAAGCATCAGTATCAAAGTAAATATATACTGCTTTTAGCAGTAAAGCAGTCACTGGTTTTAATACAATAATAAAATAAGGCCATATTCTTCCAAAGGGACTGAAAATCATCTGGATATCTTTTCTTGATGCTTCTTTAACTGGAGAAACTCCCTATTCTGGGAATGAACTCTTTCTCTGAAGAGAATTCAGTTCTGTTGCCCTATTTTAATAGAGGCTGCTCTTGTGCATGGAAACCAAGGGCTAAAAGGAGCTAGGACTTGGGTAGCTGGGACCTAATACTACTGGACATAGCTGGAGGCTGTTTCAAGAGAATGTTCATAACTCAAAATTGATGCTTTTACTAACGAGTCAAAAAAGAACATTTCAAATGTTGGCTTCTTTAGATTTCTGAGATGCAAGAAGAAGGACTTGTAAATTGTACATGTGTTAGGGTACCAGATTCACCCAGAATATACAGGCTTGTCACTAGCAGTAACTGTTTTCTTGTAAGAACACGTTTGAGATTATAGATGTACCATAAAATAGATGAACCCAGAATAAGGAGGATGCCAAATATACTTTCTGAAGATTATCTAAAAACCATGTGTAGAAACTGTATCACAGAGAAGCCTAATTTAAATATGCACACTATTTTCCTATTTTAATTTTTAACAGTATAATATGCTGATAGTGTGCTATCTTCTCTTTTCAAGGTGCAGTGCAGTTTCCACTTCCGGAAGTAAGAAGCAGCTTGATAGCATTTCAGAGCCCTAGCTCAAGGGTGGGAAGACGCTCTGGGTATGCAGCAGGCACAATGAGCACTCTGAGCTTAAGCACGTGCTCAACAAGAGTAAAAAAGTACGTGAAGAACAATGTAGGGATCAGACGTTTCTCTTTTTTCTGTGAGATGCAAAAATTCAGCACAGGATATCTTATAAAGGGGGAGGGATGCTACTAGAACCAGCTGAAAGTCTATGAAGACAAGAAGCTTGAGTGATATCTCCTTACTCTATGGATCTACTCCTACTTTTAAAAATACTTGAACTATATTTATTATTTCAAAACTATGTTTTGATACTAAAGAGATGTCTTTAGGTATATACATATTTCTGTATGTATGTATACACACACATGTCTGTGTGTGTGGACACACATGTATATTTATATAGCGCTAACCAACCTACCAATCTCGTGTCA